AAACGTACATCTTCTCTCCGCGTTGATTCATGAGACCGGTGAAAATAAAAGCCCGTTTCATTTGAGGATTTTTCAGTTCCAGGATTTAGGATGAGTAAACGTTAATTCAAACATGTGGGCACAGACATATTTTAAGCAAAAACATGAAACGGCAACAGTCCAACTGAGATTAGCTCTCTATAATACATTTTTTTCTCTACATTTAGTTTTTTGCTGACACTTGTTGTTAGGTTAATTAGCCCTGCATGAGTAAAAAGAAGAAATAAGTATGTGTTGTGAAAAGTATTATTCGCTGGAAGTTTGTCGTATGTTTGTTGCGATGGCGAATAGGATGGCTTTCAATAAATATTTGAAGAAAACTAAATAATTACCGGACAAATTTAAAGAGTTTTTGGCTAAAATGCCTATCCCTAATCATATCACTATTGTAGCTCTGTGAATGGATTGGAGAAACACCCATACCAGAACAAAACTGTTATAAATGTCTCATAGAATACATTTCCATGGACACGTGGGTGTGTTCAGTCTCTCCCTGCATTTTGTACATATATAATTTGATCTGTTTTATCTTTTTATGGCAGTACTGGTGATTATGTGATTGCCAGCATGACTCAGCACTGTGATCATGGACACAGTGGGATGAATCACTTTTTGGTTGTGGTTGGAAAAAATATGGGAGTTGCAGTGATTTCAACCAAGCCCCTGAATACAACACGCTGGCTAGTATAGGACACAATGAAACATTTAACAGTTTTACTTTATCTGTAAGTAGAGGTAAAGGCGTGTTTTCCTCATTTTAGTGTCTGATGAAGTTAATTCTGATGAAGCTTTAAAGACTAAATTAACATTTAAAACTTTTCCACTTTAAAATATGGTCACTCAGACAAGAATAGGATTCTCATTTCAGTACTTAATGGCACAGTTGTCAGAAAAGTACCCAATGATAGTTCTTTGGGTAATTACAGTGGTGCATAATCCTCAATTAGGGGAACATAACTGTATTTTAATAACTGTAAGGTAAAGGCAAGCAGATGAAGACTTCCTATAGATGAGCCTGGGTGGTATGTAGTGAGGTGGTTGCATTGGGGTCAGGACGTTTATGCTTCAAGTTTCAGCTGGCTGAAATATTTCTGTGAGGAGTTTCCTTGTTCTCCTTTTGCCTGTGGGTTTTTCTTTTGCACAAAATCCTGCATCTGAGGTCATTTTCAGATTCTAAAGGTGTATATGTTTTTTTTCTAATGGGTACATTTTGTCACTAGGGTAGCAGAACCATTTTTCCAAAGGGGCGGACAGTACGGTGTAAAAATATACCAATTTTCAAGGTATAGTACTGACAGTACAGATACAGTACCTTATCTAATACAGCAGGAGCAGAAAAGGATAGTGAAGGTCCTCCTTTAAAGATCATTATTGGTTTCTTATTTGTCTGTGGGAAAAAGAACTGTGACAGTTCTTTATAATACAATTTATAATTGTTTGTGGTTAAGCAACATACTGTGGAAACGTAGAAGGAAGAACAAAATGAACACCGCCAGATGGCTCACGATGCCTTCACTGCCACAGGAAGCCGCTTGGAAAACTTGATGCAATGGAAAACGTGTTCATCGGGAGAGATGTTACGTGTATTACCATGACTTAGGGGAAAAGTCTTTAAAGCACAAGTGAGGCAGATGCCCACTGGGCACCTGGAGATCATGACAGTGTTTGAGAGGCTGGGGCAGATGGAAGGAAAAAACTGATGACCAGATGTGAAGCTTGGAGCCCCAAGCATTTCAAAGATTTTAGTCAGTCGGCTGCTGTAGGCAGATTTTTACCACTCATCATGACGACCGTATTAACCAGCTAATTTTAAAAACCGCACAACTAACTAATGTAGTTAACTGACATGAGAAGAAAGGTTATAATCTATACATGCTAGGATGACGAATGAATGTTCCGCAGGTAGTTAAAGCTTGTATGAAAATGCAAACTCAGCACCTGAACCCCGTTATAAAAAGCGATGAAGGAGATGTTAGCAGGGAGTTGTGATGTCTGTTGGACAAGAGAGGAGAAAAACTATCTACACACTCTCTGTTTCAAAAAAGAAACGACAGGAGACAAACACTAATGACCGCTGTAACTCCTGCCTGCTGTGATGACACATGCAAAGATACGCATAATGTTCCCATATGACACAAGTGATCACAAAGAAATTATTTCATTGTCACATTGCAGCTCCTGGCTCGGTCTATTCTGGATCAAATCGCTGCTCACTCGTCTCTCAGACGCGCTGCCTCATATAGCATCAGTTGGTGCTGATGCGTCACCCTCAGGCTGGGCAAGGCTCAGGCTTGCCAACTCACAAAGACTCGCACACGAGCGAGGAGAAAATGAAAATTTCAGTGATTAAGTGGTGGAAGGGAAGGGACGTGTATGTGGCCAGCAGAGAGGAGTTGAGTTACAGGAGTACGGGGAACTGCAGGCAGCAGCTGAGCTGACTGGTTGACTGACTGCTGGACAGGCTGAGCGAAGCGCCCCGAGGCGATAGATGAAAGCCCTTCCACTAAAGGTCATGTACACATCCCACATGAGCTTTAATAGTGAAATGCAATTGAACAAATTGGTGCTGATGCAGAATGAAAAGATTGTGACTCAACTCATCGGCAGCTGCTGCGAGTAATTCAAGTGCAATAAAGTAATTCCATACAATACGTGATGATAACGCCCTAATGTGCCTTAATGTTCCTAAACTTCCCTAAGGATTAGAGTACACAATAAAAACTGCTGGGTTAAAAACAACCCCATTTTTCAATCCAGCACCTTGGACCAAGCCAACCATGGGTAATTTTAACTGAGCAGGTTTGGGTTATCAGTTTGACCCCCAAAAAACTGAGTTAAAATGGATAATGTAGTTGTCTAAAAAGTCTAAAAGGTTGAGTTAAAAAGAACAACCCAATATTTGGATTATTGGATAAATGCAACTTAGTTTGATGCTAGCTAGTGCTAACTGCTATTAGCATAAGCTAGCTAGCACCAACTCGTTATTTTAGGAACCCAAACTCACTACAAACTAAAGTTATTAACAAGACCGGGCTAAACATCTTACAGGTTGTTGTTGATGTTGTTGTGTACAAAATGGAGGGGTTGTTTTTAACCAGGCAAATCCCATTGAGATCACAGATCTCTTTTGAAAGGGAGGTTTTATATGTACTGATACTCACTGAAAAGACTTTTACAGATGTAAAAAAAAAATGTATACAGGTACAGAAGAGCATTTTTCTAATTTTAACTTATTTCCACTGGCTTCCAGTTACGTTCAGAGTATAATTTAAAGTCTTCTGTTTAACATATAAAGCTCTCAAGAGCCAAGCTCCATTTGATATTAAGGATACTGTAATCATATTTTCCTAACAGGGCACTTCACTCTAAAACTGCAGGTTTACTTGTGGTTCCTATAGTTTCTAAAAGTAGAATGGGAGGCAGAGCTTGCAGGCTCCTTTCTTGTGAAAACTCCCAGTTTATGTCCATCAGGCTAATGTATTTTTAAACTGGGCTGAAGTCTTTTACTGTGCAATAAATCCTATAGTTAGGGTTGCCTTGTCCGGGGTTGTATCCTGCACCTGCCAAGGATTGTTTGGTATTTCAAGTCAACAGTTTTTTTGTCAGAGGACATACTGACTCTCAGTCTTTACTTTCTGTGTTCGTCTTTAATTATTGCTGCTATTAATTTGTGTTTGTCTTTGTTTTCCTTTCTATAGAAAGTACCGGTACACCTGGACCAGTTCTTCTTTGTCTGTGTCTCTTGTTCTCTTAAACTCCAGCTGGTCAAGGCAGATATAGACATCCATCCTAAACCTGGTTCTGCTGGAGGTTTTTTTCTGTTTAAAGGGAGGTGTTTCTTCCCACCGTTGATGGGAGATAGAACTAAAGTGAAGCTTAAACACAATCTGTTACTTCTTACATAGATAACATTTACAAAATGGCACTTGACATGTACGTGAATTCATTGTATATGGATTAGATTCATAGTTTGGACTTTTTTGTGTTGTAACTTCTGTTTTCAATTAGCTCTATATAAAATAACTGAAATAAATCAAAATGAATAACAGAGATTCTACATTTTTTTTGTTTTAAAATGATCTAACTGGTAAAAAAAAAAAAAAAAAAAAAAAGACACAGAACCACTATAGCCATATTGCATGGCTTTGCACTGTGGAGATCCCGGCAGGTGGTGTCCCACCACTTGAATCACGAGAGTCTGCAGAGGCTGACGATGACAGGGACACTGCCTGACTGTCAGAATCACCTACGCATGACTGGCACTCAAAAATGCTTCTTCACAACAGAACTGCTCAGTTTTGAAGACAACAGGAGAAGAAAATGAACTATGTTCTGGGTGGAAGTTAGGTTTTGATTGACAATTTCAGAAATGCGAAATAATAATCAACTGTTTTGTTCATTTAAGCTCTGCTACTTGTGAAGGTCCAATTGTTTCGTCTTCACGATGATCTAGATTCTTGTGCACTCATCATAAAAGACTACAAACGAGGTTACGTTTCAGCTCGACTGTGCAGAGCTGCAGCTGAAACTGCTGACTTCAAACAGCAAACAGCCCTTGACAGGTACAGGCTACACAACCTGGACAAGTGGCATCTCCACAGCTGCTGCCTTATGAGGGGATTTGCCCTCCCCTGCTATGCCTCTGCCCTGGAGTGAACTGCAGCCTGACTCCAGATTTCACACTAAAACAAAACATCACAATCAAAAACCTGGATGGAAAGGCGTTCATTCATTTCCCAGCAACGGAATAATAAAAACAAACCTGCTGCTACTAGTGATTTCCTTGTAGAGAAGCCGCTTCCAACATGACAACAATCACAGAATCATTCAGAGGCCCTGCAGGAGCGTCTGTCTCCAAACGCTCCGTGATCTTGGACGCGTTAGAGGCGCTCCATCCCCGGGTGAGGTGCTCTGTTTTCAGTGAGGTGATGGGGGGGGGGGGGGAGCGCTTTGTGTCTTACCGGCTGCTGGATGTGGCGAGACGCCCCCCTCCCCGGCGGAGGAAGATGCTGCCGCTGGACGCCGCGCTGGAAAGAGTCGCTGCCGGCGGCTTTGTTGTTGCCCGCGACCCGGTCCCTCTTCTCGCGCACGCTGCTGGAGCTGGAGCCCGCCTTCTCTCGTTCCTCGGCCGAGTCGAGGGTGCTGAAGTTCCACACGATCAGAGTCTGGACCAGCAGCACCGTGAGGGCTGCGATCAGGGCGGAGCGCGAGCGGCGGGCCAGCCTGCGTGCGCACGGGCCGCCGACCATCTTCACACCGCGCGGGCTGCACGGAGCTGGAGGAGCGAGGAGCTGTGCGCAGCTCGACGGCGGCGGAGAGTGGATGTGGAGGGAGGCGGAGGAGGTGGTAGAGGAGGAGGGAGGCTGGGCTTTATGGTGGCGGAGGCGAGGGGAGACAGAGGGCCACCGTGTGGTGAGAGTCCACAGGAGGAGGTGCAGGCGCTGCAGGGAGGAGAAGCTCCCTGCGTGAGAGAAATCATTAGTCTCAATTTTAATCTCTCACATGAGGAATCATTGGGATGATCATCAAATGGGTTTAGATAATTGCAAATGCTGAAATGTTCACTGTCATTACTGGCAAAATAGCAGAATTAGTCTGAGCCTGCAGGGACACTTTACTGATGTCAACAAGCGCGTGACACTGGTCCCCATGAGAGGACCTAGTGTATGGGGTGCTGTTTGTAAAGTTAGTCAAAAATTAACAGTAATATTTTGGTTTATTTAGCCTTTTATAAGAAAAAAAAAAAAGATAGTTTTCTTTCAAAGTCATATTTTCACCATGTTATTAATACATTTTTTAAATGTTCCAAACTAAATGTTTGATTTACAAGCAAAATATTTAGTTTACAAACTAATTACTTAACTTGCAAGTTAAATATTTAGTTAGTAAACTTGATATTTTAGTGTAAATTAAATATTTAGTTTCCAAATATTTATTGTCCCAGTTAAATATTGAATCTCAAAACTAAACATTAAAATTCTAAGATAAACATTTAATTCCTAAACTAAATATTTAATTTGCTAACTAAATATTTAGTTCAGACCTAAATATTTATTTTCCAAGCTAAACATTTAATTTCCAAAGTAAACATTTAATTTGCTAACTAAATATTTAACTCGGACCTAAATATTTAACTTGCAAGTTAAGTATTTAGTTTGTAAATTAAATATTTAGGTGGGAACTATGACATTTATAAATGTACGAAAAACACGGTGAAAATATGACAGAAAAAAAAACAAGTTTTTTCTTATGAAAGGCTAAATAAACCAAAATATTGCTCTTAATTTTTGACTGTGTAACTTTACAAATGGCACCCCATACTGTTTACCGTATATTATTGCCACTGGTAGTTTAACTAAAGTATATATTTTACTGACCTTTGTGTTGCTCTGAAATTTGCAAAATTATTATTTTATCGTTTGCCATAAAAAAACAAAGCACTAAAGTCTAAATTTAACCAGTTACATTTGTTTGCATGAGAATAGTGTTTCAGCGATATGTCACACAGCAGTTGAGCCCAAATAGAACAAAACATCTGACAACTACAGGGGTTGGATAATTGATCTTATAAAATACAAGACTTTTTTTCCACCCATTGACAAAAATAAAAATGGACTATGAATAAAAGATGGACAAAGTGACTTCATTAATTTACTTTGTCCAAAGTAAAAAATTTTAGTGTTTTTGGCCTCAGCCTTGTAAAACTTTTGGAGCCAGGATCTGCATAGTAACTTGCAGCTATACACAAATGTCCCGACTTGCTGACAGGCTGTCAAATAATGTGGCACTTTTTTTGAAAAGCCTAAAAAAACTAATTGAAACTACAGTATACCTATTAAAAATGCATATTTGAGCACACTGTAGCATGGTAAGAGTTGCATAGATCAAGAAAAATCATGAACTAAAAAAAAAAACCCAGAAATATTTATTTATTTTTCTGTTTTGTGAAGCAAATATCCTGCAGCCAGCCACTAGAGGGCACCTTTGTGGTTTAGTCTTTATCAATGGGGTTACCTTTTGTATTTTTGGAACCAGAGTCTGTGCACTAGAGAGGTGGGCCTTTAAGTCGCCCAATACGATAAGATAAGTAAGATCTAAGTATATAACTATACCTCTAAAATGACTCTTGGTGTCACCTGACCTTTGTATTAAGCATGAAATAACTGCTAAACATATAAGAACACTATTTTTTAACATACAAAAGCAAGGTAAGAAATAAAAATACATAATTGTGGTCTGTATTTTTCAGATTTACTAAGGTCAATGTTCAGTTCATTTACATAGAGAGGGCTGGATATATATCTTGTACTAGGACCAGCTACAGGAAAGATGGTCGTGTTTCGGCTTCAACTTCCAAGTTCCTATCAGATGTCTAGATTTCTTCCATAGCTGATGTTCTATATTTGTTACTGGCTGCATTAATAGTAAAAGCTTAGATTATTTTTTGAAAGTTGGATTCTGTGGAGCAGTAGCAGTAAGTAAATTCCCTGCAGAAGACTGTCATAATGGCTCAAGCAAATGTTATTTTATGTGGTTTAAGTTTGCATCTCTTTTGCACCAGATATTTTACAGTACATAGACTTTTAAGGTTATTTACTTTGGAACACAAGATGAAGTCTGTTTCAATTTGTTTTCATTTCAAACATCTTCTAAGCAACAGTTACAGTAATCCCTCATTTATCGCGGTGGATCCGTACCCTGAAGACCCACGATAAGTGAAAAACAGCCAAGTAGGAATAGTAAGTAGTAGTTGATTTTATTATTTTTATAGATATATATTAAGGTGTTTTAAACCTTCCCACACACTTGTAATATTCTAAACAAGGTTTCTAATCTCTAAACACTCTAAAAGAGCACAGAATGTCATGATTTCAGCTCCCTTCCTCCTCTGCTCTTTGCCACATGCAAGCACTCTTGGCCACACCCACTTCTCCGCTCAGCTCCTGGAGGCACTCCTTCACACCCTCGATGCTCGCCATGCACATGCAGCTTGGGCTTCCCAGGCGAGGTGTGCGGAGGTGGTTGCCTAGCGTATACATACATACATACATACATGCATACATGCATACATACATACATACATACTGGAGAGAGGCTGGACTATTTCCTACTCTGAAGTTGCCTAGGGAGAGGGGCATCAGGTGGATGTGTGGGGATACTCACAAGCCCCTGGATGAATGCCTCAATGTTGGAGTTTGCCCTGGGGAACGAGAGGGTTGCTTCTTTGTGGCTTCGGACTGCAGGAGGGAAGGTTTTGACTGCTGTTTGTGCTTATGCACCAAACATCAGTTCAGGTTAACCAGCCTTTCTGGAGCCTCTGAATGGTGTCTTAGAAGGGGTGCCTTCTGGGGAGTCCCACATTCTCCTGGATGACTTCAATGCCCATGTGGGCAATGATGGAGTCATCTGGAAGGAGTGACTGGGAGGAATGGTCTCACTGATCTGAAGAATGGTGTTTGCTTATTGGACTTCTGTGCTAGGCATGGATTGTCCATAAATGAACACCATGTTTGAGCATAGGGTGGTTTATAAGCGTACTTGGTGCCAGGCCACCTTAGGCTAGAGGTTGTTGATAAATTTTATAATTGTGCTGATGGACCTGTGACCCTACAGTATGTCGGACACTCGAGTGAACAGAGGGGCAGTGCTCTAAACTGATCACTGCCGGGTGGCGAACTGGATCTGGTGTCAAGGGAGGCTGCTGGACAGACTTGGTAAACCCAAATGCATATGTGAGGGAGAATTGAGAACGTTTAGTGGAGCCCTCAGTCCATGCAGCTTTCAACTTACACATCCAGATGAGTTTTTCACATGTCCTGGGAGAGGTCGGGGACATGGAATCTGAATGGGTCATGTCCAGGGCCTCTATTGTAGATGCAGCTTCCAGGAGCTGTGGCTGGAAGGTCACTGGTGCCTGTCGGAGCAGCAATTAAAGAACGGACCCACTGGTGGACATCAGCAGTGATGGAGGCTGTCAACCTGAAGAATGAAGACCTTCAGGACTTTGTGGTTCTGGAGGACTCTTGAAACAGCTGACAGGTACAGGGTGGCCAGAAGAACTGTGGCTTTGATGGTTGTGGAAGCAAAAACACGGGCATGGGATTAATTCAGGGAGACCATAGAGAAGGACTTTTGGTTGGGCTCGAGAAAGTTCTGACAAATGGTTCGGCGACTCAGGAAAGGAAAGCAGACCCTATTCCAGGCTGTGATTGGTTTGGGTGGGGAACTGCTGACCCAGACTGAGGATATTGTTGAATGGTGGAAGTAGCTCTTCTAGGATCTCTTTAATCGACCTATCATGTCCACTTTTGAGAAGGCAGATTCTGAGGACCCAGGGGATGACGAGGCCATTACCATGCAAAGGTCATAGAGGTAGTCAAAAAGCTCCTCAGTGGCAGGTTGGCAGGGGTGGATGGGATTTGCCCAAAGATACTGAAAGCTCTGGATGTTGAGGGACTGTCAAGGTTGACACATCTGTTCAAGGTCACATAGAGGACTGGGACAATGCTTGTGGAGTGGCAGACCAGGGTGGTGTTTTCCATTTTTACAAAGGGGTATCGGAGAGTGTGTTCTAACTATTGTGGGATCACGTTTCTTTTCCCCCACCACCACTAGCACCGGAAACTTTACTCCAGGGTGTTGGAAGGAAGATTCTGACTGACTATTGAACCTTGGATTCAGGAAGAGCAATATGGCTTTCATCTTGGTTGTGGAACAGTGGACTAGATGTTTACCCATGCAGAGTTGCTAAGGGGGTCATGAGAATGAGCTTTTCTGGTCTACATGTGTTTATGTGGATCAGGGAGACTTATGACCGTGTTCCTTGAGGCATTCTGTGGGGGAGAGCTATGTATGGGATGCCTGGGTAGCTTTTCAAAGCTATCAGTCCCTGTGTTCCAAAGCAGGAGCTGTGTCCGCATTCTTGGCACGAAGTCGAGCTTGTTCTCAGTGCGTGTTGCACTCCACCAGGGTTGTCCCTTGCCTCCGATTCTGTTTGTGGTAACCATGGACAGGATCTCAAGGCACAGTTGTGGAGAGGAGAGTGTCTGATTTAGGAACCTCAGGGTCTCATCATGGATTAATACATCTGTAAAAAAGCACATGCTATGTGTACTCTGTGCAACAGTTTATTATATTAACAATAAAACATAAAAATCAATAAAACAGCATGTTTCAAGTGTTATAAATCAGCCATTGGAAGGACACTTTCTGTGTATTTCTGGTGCCAGGACCAACCTCAGCTAAATAA